CTCTCTCTCGCTCTAATAAATAAATAAGTAAATAATAAATAAATAAATAAATAAATAAAATCTTCAAAAAATATATATAGCACATCTATATTTAAAGTATTTTTTAAAAAAAATAAGCCATAGGTTTGTTTTCCATTTGTATTCTCCTTTTATTATAGAAAGCTTCTTTGGATAATGGAAGCAGGTGAATGCCATTTCATTCATGAAAAGATGGGGCTTTGGATGCTATAGGTGAAAGATATTTAAAAACCACCCCATAACAGTGTGATAACAAAACTAATAGCAAGCATGAAGTGCATACTTTAAAAAGCCAGCCAAGCAAAATTTATACCTGTTAAATCTAATGTCTTTTCTTTCTTCCTTAGAAAATTTGCCCAAACTATATCTTCTGATAGAGCTGGGAGTATTGCTCTCAGCATTTATTTTGTCTTCAAAAGCCTGTATTTTAACTTGCAGCTTTTCATGGTCTTCATTTTCAGTCAATGTGAGCTTGATTTCTTCCAGCTTCTCAGGGATTTCAACCTCAGTGCTTGGTTTTTTCCTAAAGGAATAAAAATCATTGCATTAGATAGTGGTCACATGTACCCTCAAGACAGTGTTACTTTCTATTTAACTGCTTCTTATTCAAAACAGAAAAACTTACCTGATAAATTTTTTATTAGTCATTTAGGAAATGCTTATTAACTACAATGGACATAGGGTTTTTAATTTTTTTTAAGATTTTATTTTTAAGTAATCTCTACACCCAACATGGGGCTCGAACTCATAACCCCAAGATCAAGAGCTGCATGCTCCACCCACTGAGCCAGGTGCCCCCATTTTTTTTAAGAAAATTATATTTGTTCTAGTTTCTGTCATCTACATCATTTCTGTGGTAGGAAATGTGCTCATTGTAGTTCCCATCACTGGGGTCTCCCATGTACATTTTTCTGGCCTATCTCTCTCTCTCTTTTTTTTTCTCAAAGATTTTATTGATTTATTTGACACACAGAGAGAGATAGTGAGCGAGAGAGAACAAGCAGGGGGAGTGGCAGGCAGGCAGAGGCAGAAGGTGAAACAGGCTCCCTGCTGAGCAAGGAGCCCGATGCGGGGCTCGATCCCAGGACCCTGGGATCATGACCTGAGCAGAAGGCAGACGCTTAACCGACTGAGCCACCCAGGCATCCTGGCCTATCTCTTCTTTACTGATGCCTGCTATTCCTCTATAAATACCCCTAAAATGATTATAGATTTACTCTATAAAAGACCATTCTAGTCAATGGGTGTATGACCTAAATCTTTGGAGAACATTTCTTTGGAGCTCCTGAGGTCATCCTACTTAGTGTGATGGCCTACAAACATTATATGGCCATTTGTAAGCCCTTGCATTATACAATCATCATGAACTGGCAGATGTGTGGCCTGCTAATGGGAGTGGTGTGGGTGGGAGACTTTCTTCATGCAACCACACAGATCCTCTTCAGCTTCCGATTAGCCCTAACAGCACAGATCACTCTAGGTAGGCTCTAAACCCTTTGCTCAATCTCGCCTGCACTGATACCCACACTCTAGGGCTCTTTGTTGCAGCCAAGAGCAAATTGACCTGTATGCTAAACTTCCTTCTCTTTTTAATTTTTTTTTTTTATATGAGTATAGTTGACACACATTGTTACGTTAGTTTCAGGTGAACAATGGACATAGATCTTTGAAATTGTTTCTATAGCTTCTTCTGCTAGAAGTTTATAAACATTGGTGTGTGTGCCAACTTTACATTAGAAGGAGCTGTTGAAGAATTCAGAGAATAAAAAGCAGTTTGTATGGTTATCTACCATATTCTTATCCAGTTCTACAAAAGCAAGGCTTTCACATGAAATTCATGCCAGACATTTTTTGGAAAATTGTTAAGAGGCAATTTGTTTGTGCTGAAATAGATAGAACATTTCAAATGGACTGTATAAACTCATGGTTTTCTTGATTTTATGTCAATCAGTGTGATTATTTTATATTATGAAATAAAAAAAATCTTTTTGATTTTTAATATGTTGGAGGGAAGAGATTTTCCATGACTGATATTAATAGTTCCAACTATCTTTTTTACAGAATTTATAAAGCACTAGGTGAGTCATTAAAATGACCTCCTTTAAGGCAGGGGTTATATGTAGAATAACTTTGGAACCCCTCTAAGGACTAACATAGTGCCTTAGATATAGTTAGAGCCTACAGATAAGCTGCAGAAATAGTTCACTTGATGCTAAGGTGCTAAATGATTACAGAAAAGTAGTGTGTATTTATCTTCCCTTACTTGCCTGAGTCAGCCTAGAGCTACTTTAATTTTTTTTTAAGATTTTATTCATTTATTTGCCAGAGAGAGAGCATAAGCAGGGGAGTGGCAGGCAGAGGGAGAAGCAGGCTTCCTGCTGAGCAGGGAGCCCAATCCCAGGACCCCAGGATCATGACCTGAGACGAAGGCAGATGCTTAACCAACTGAGCCACCCAGGGGTCCCAAATTTCTATTAAACAATCACTATCAATATAATATAGGGTTATTCTTCTTTATAAATATAAGGGTTAATAATCCCTAAAAATCCATTCATCAAGATGGCTTAATAATTCTGTTGGTTTGTCTGTGTGTATTTACCTGGCTCTCTTTACTATTTTTCCTAGAGGTTGATGAAAAGGGCCTCAAATATACAAAACCCTGGCATTTTCAAGCATATGGCTATTTTCCCCTAAGGGCCAAGGTAAACCTGGTATATTACATAGATGGGAATGAGAAAATACAATTCTGGTTTTTCTAATGGCACTGCTTTTTAGGGAAAACCAACACGAAAGTGCTGGTGATAGTTTTTTCAATTATATTCCACCCATTCTGGGGCCATGTGTGTGGTGGGCACTGGGAGAGGTTGGTTGGCAGGTTTCCTGGCTGGCCCAGAGAGGGGTACTGGCTTTGAGGGAGGGTTCATAGTTTTGGGGCCCTCAGTTTTTAAAATTCCCGTTAGTTCAGCCCAGGGACAGATGTAAATGGTGCCACTGGGAAAGCAAGTAGATCATCACTTAAGTAACCAGGATATTGTTTATGGTCTAATAAGCTATTACTGAGAAAACTTAAATACATATCTATATAATTTTTATAGGCTTCCTATAGTTTTGCATACATAATGCAAAATTTATTATCTATACCATCTTCACTGAAATATACATGAGTAGATTTCAAGAATCAGTACATGGGAATAAAGGCTAATCACAAACATGTTTCCCTTTATGATACATAAGATACTGGCTGCCCACAAACAGATGGGAGGTTTTGACATCTTCCAGCCAGATAATTCTAAAACCTGAACTTTTACTCCTATTATAAATGAAACAAAGATGGTACTATCACTGGATGGTATTTTACAAACCATGATGATTATCAGGGTTACTTTTAAAAGATCCAATGGGACTTCTGGGGAAGATCGTGGAGTAGGAAGATCCTACATTCACCTTGTCCCAAGGATACAACTAGATAACACCCACATCGATGTAAATAACCCAGAAAATGACCTGAAGATTGGCAGAACAGACTCTCCATAGCTAAATGTAGAGAAAAGGCCACATTGAAGAGGGTAGGAGGGGTAGAGACATGGTGGAGGCTAAATGGACCCATGGGTCTGTCCATGGAGGAAGGGACACCATGGCCGTCAAGAGGAGAAACAAACCATCACAGCAAGTACCCCAGGCATGGGAAACCCACACAAGTAAGATGAATCCCCATAACATTTGGCTTTGGAAACCACAGGGGACTAATTTCGTGAATTCTTACAATGGGGGCTTAACACCTGGAACTTAAAAATCAGCAGGCTCCACTCTGGGAGAGCCAGAGGGCAAGAGGAAACAAATTCCTTGCCCTTAAGGGACAGCACAACAAACAGCTCTGTAGAGATACAGCCTAGAAGTAGCAATTTGAAAAACGTTTGGGGTATATGGGAAGATTTATTTACTAATCTCAGAGCATGTGCTGGAGGGAGAGACATCTTTAGGAGATTTCTCCAGGAACAAAGGAATTTACAAGCACCATTTCCTTCCCCTGCTCCCCAGCTTAGACACATGGACACCTGTGGGAACCAGCACAGCACAAACACTCTCACCTAATTTGCTGACCGTGTGCCCCACCCCTGTGTTCTCTTGTAGACACACCCCCTCTAGTCCTGCTGTAGTTGTCTAAAGCAACTCAAGGTCCATTCCCACAACACTCCTGCATGAAGCATGCTAAAACCACAAGTTCCATCCCCACATTCTCCTGCAGACCTATCCCCAGAGGACTGTGGGCAGACATCTAGTCTTAATGCAGGCCCTAGCTGCCAATAAACCATCTCAAGGGACAACACAGGGAAAGCACACTGCCGATCAGTTCTAATGCATCTCTGGTAAATTCCTGGTCTGACTCATCTCAAGACCAAGGCAGACCCAAACTGACCCAATAATAACACAGGGACCAAACACTGCCCACAACAGGCAAAGAGAGACAGGGCTGAAAGCAAAAGTGGCTCAGGCAAAATAGTAGGGTGCATTCAACACACATAGGAGATATCCCTGAAGTAACAGATTCTGGCGAACAGGCGACATTGCACTGCAGGGCACTACAGGACCTCTTCTTCATAAGGCCATTACTTTCAAGAGCAGGAACTGAAGCTGAATTTCCTAACACATAGAAAGAGCACAAAGAGGAGCACCTGGGTGGCTCAGTCAATTAAGTGTCCAATCTTGGTTTTGGGCTCAGGTCATGATCTCATAGGTCATGGGATCAAGCCCTATGTTGGGCTCCACACTCAGCTGGGAGTCTGCTTGAAAGATTTTCTCCCTCTGCCCCTCCCCCCTCTCAAATAAAGAAATCTTAAAAAAAAAAAAAAGAGCACAAAGAGTTAGACAAAATGAGGAGACAGGGGAATATGTTCCCAAGAAAAAACAGGACAAAATCACAGCAAGAGAGCTAAATGAAATAGAGATGAGTAATATTCCTGATAGATAATTGAAAGTCATGCTCATAAGGAAAGAAAAGAGGACCTCAGTGAAACCCTTAACAAAGAGATAGAAAACATAAGAAAGAACCAATCAGAGATGAAGAACTCAATAACTGAAAGTAAAAACACACTAGAGAGAATAAATAGTAGACTAGAAGAAGCAGGAGAACAGATCAGCAACCTGGAGTACAGAGTAATAGAAAGCAATCAAGCTGAAGAGGAGAGAGAAGAAATAATAAGTGAAAAAGATTTAGAACTCTGCAACACCATCAAGCACAGTAACATTTACATTATAGGGCTACCAGAAGGAGAAAAGAGAGAAAAGGGAGGGGAGGGGTCAGAAATTTTATTTGAGGAAATAATAGCTGAAAATTTCCCAATCTGGGGAAGGAAACAGAAATCCAAAACCAGTAGGCACAGAGAACTCCCAACAAAATCAACCCAAGGAGTTCCACACAAAGACACATAGTAATTTAAATGGCAAAAAGTAGTGATAAAGAGAATTTCAAAAGCAGCAAGAGAAAAGAAAACATTACATACAAGGGAGACTCTATAAGGCTAG